AACAGATCACGTTTGTAGGTCAGGGACTTATTGTACAAAATTGTTCGTGTATATCTAGAAGAGGGCTTTATTTTAGCTGCTTTACAGAAGATTGCATCATTTACGAAGCAAGCCATATAGTCTTATAAGATTAGGAAGAACGGGCCGGGGATTTAGCTCAGTGGTGCTGCTGTCTGCCCCACAAGCACAAGTCCAGAGTTTGATCCCTAGTACCAAAAAAACCAAAAAAAAGATTAGGAAGAATGTACTTGCATAAGTAATACCAAAATAGGGAAGACTTTATCAGGGCTGAAAGTTAAGATTTAGATCTAGAATATCCCTGAAAAGCCTCATGTGTTTAGAGGTGTTGGGTGCTGAATTCATCCTCTGATGAGTTCATAGCTGAACGTATGGTTAAGAGATGGGGCCTGGTGGGAAAAGGCAGGCCATTAGGGGCACGACCTAGAAGTGTGTAACACTCTTCTCCCTTCTCTGGGTGCTCCTTGGCTGCTGAGGCATTGGTAGCTGTCCTCCACCCAGGTCCTTGTGCCACGGTCTTTTTGCCTTGAAGCCATCTGGGCATGGGCTGAAAGCATGAGCTAAAATGTGGGATTGTTGCTGTGAGTATACCTGATCACGTAGTTCAGATATCTTTGGAAGTGGTTCATGAGAGGAGCATAGAACAGTTTAGAGATGCCAGCCAGAGATAGGATGCTATAAACTGAGGTTGGTTGGAGATTCTGGTTTGAGCTTAGAAGAGGAGAATGCTGACAGAAATGCAAATGGTCAAGGTCAATCTCAGGAATTTTCAGCTGGAAACAGGGCTCCATTGGCAGTTGGCCTACAAGCCATGTGTATTACAGTCTGGCAGAAAATTGGTCTTCCTTTTGCTCATGTCCTGAGTTTTTGCAGGAGACTGAGATTAAGCATGGTAGTCTAATTAATCTGGGAGAGAAAATTTCAAAGCTGTCCAACATCCAGGCTGTGGCATGGATACTGCTGGCAGCTTTTAGCCAGGTCTGTAGTGAAAATCAGGGGCAAAAAGCTTATGTGAAAAGTTTATAGTTTCATCCCAAAGGAAGTGCCTACAGGGTTGGGGCAGTGGACAATGTGGTTGGTAAAAGGATGAGTAATAAAAAGAAGTACTGTACTTTGTGTCAGGACAGTAGGAAAGATTACTGACTTAAAGGCATCTCAGCAAGAACCCACCCATCACAGACTGAAAGATGCAAAAGTGTAAATATTTGCTTTGAGGGGTGAGCCCCAAGATGTCCAGCTTATTCACAGCTGACTAGGAAAGCTTTTTCCAGTGTTCAGCCATCCAGCCATTCAGAGACCACTTCAGGCCTGTCCTGAAGTTGCCCAGCTACTGCTCCCACTGGTGGCAGACTTTGGCATCACCCATGTGGTTGGTGCTGGCTGTATGGGTGTACAAGAATGCAAGAGTTACAGGCTCAGGGAGGCTCCTACCTAGATTTCAGAAAAAGGCCTAGGAGGCCAGGCAGTGTTCCCTGGAGAATGCAGTGTGTGAAGATGTGAGAGTGCAGCTGAAAGTGTAGCAGGGAACCCAGTAAGTTAGAAATGCCAGGGCTATAGACGATCTGCTGGGGAAAGCTGTGGAGCTTGGACAGAGCCAGCTCAAGAAAGAGGCCGTGAGGGCAGCAAGCAGCAGCGAGAGAGGGCTGGGGCCTGTGGAGCATCTCAGCACAGCTTGCCTGGGTGCCGGACTGGGACTGCAGAATTCAATGTCTACCCTGCGGGGCTTTGCTCTTGGACTGGTCCTTTCTATTCTGCCATCCCTCCCTTTCGGAAAGGGAGTGTGTACCTTACAAGGTTGATGTCGGGAGTATTTAACTTCCTTTTAGATTTCTGTCAGGCTGTGCAGCCAAGTGTTTGCCAGACTCACAGAGAAGCCTTTGGACTTAAACTTTTAGCAGTGCTTGAACTGGTTTTATACTCTGATGACCTTTAGAGACAGAGTACACATGTTTTGCATAATGAGGTGGACATTGGTTTTAGGGGTGCCAAGGCCAGGAAATGTTATGGTTTCCATCTAAAATGTCCCCCCAAAGCTTCATGAGCTTTGAGGATGATTAGATTATGGGGGCATTATACTCATGGGTGGATTTATCCACTGTTAAGTTCAGCTATGATGTGACGGGTCCTGGTTTGAAGTGTGCCATTGGCAGTGTGCCTTTAGAAGGTATGTCTCCCTCCCTGGCAACCCCCTTTGCTCTCTGTTTCATGGCTGCCATTAATTGATCTGTATTTCTTCTGCCCTGGCCTCCTACCATTCTGCCTTGGAGCCAGCTGACTACGGACTAACTCCTCAAAAATCCCATGAGCCAAAACAAACCTCTCCTTCTCTAAGTTGTGGGTGCTGGGTATTTAGTCCCAGACCCTGACCAGAAAACGACTAAAACACTGTGTTCAATGACCTGGAGTTGGTAAAAATCCACAGAAAAAGAATCACTCTTGGTTTATTGTTAGTCATAGTAAAGTGCCAGCTCTTTGGTATTGTAAAGTCTCATGTGTCTTCATGTTTGCTGTTGTTGTTTACAGGTCCTCCTCCTATCTCTGCAGAACCTGTTGTTTCACCTGAACCAGCGTATGTTTCAAAAGTACATTATGGTAGGAAAGTCCTTGCAATATTGTTTCTTAGGTAATTAACCCAATTAAAAGTCTAATTAAATCATGCAGCTGAGTGTGGTGGTGCACACCTATAATCCCAGCACTTGGGAGGCTGAGGCAGGAGGATCGCCATGAGTTTGAGGCCAGCCTGAGATAAGTAGTGAGTTTGAGGCCAGCCTAACCTACGAAGCAAGACCCTGTCTGGAAAAAAATGCCTAACTATGACAATTTATGCTGACATTTTGTCATTCAACCTTTTCACACTTGGAAAGACAAAAATGTTTCCCTCTTCTTTGCTAAAAGATGAGGGAAGTAAGGAGTGGAGAGGAAAGATTAAAGGAAGGGGCGTCTCCTTATGAGAAGGTAGTTCACCAGTTTCATGAACTTTCATGAATTTCAGCCGCTTTTATGAGAATTCTTTGCTTTGTGGTCTTGTTTCCTGGTGCATCATGGTTATTGGGCATATTCATTTCAAGTAATGTAGCCACATTCCTTTAAATGCCAGTTATTCAATGCTCAGGCCCAAGAAAGGTAAAATTTCAGTTCGCATTACTAGTTACGTGATCTAGGACCTCTTGCTTCCCTGTGCACCTTAACTGCCTCATTTGTAAAATGACCATTTCAGAGAGTCCCATGTAGAGTGTAGAGATGTTGTGGGGCATCAGTGAATTCATACATGTAAACTACTTATCTCAGTGACTGTCACGCAGTACATTCTCACCAAATAGCAACTTCCGTATTGTATTACAGCCTTATCACATTCAATATTGGATGGTAGTTATCATATGCCTTTCCTGTCAAACTGTTAATTTCATGAAATGCAGAAAATTATTCCTAATTTCTACAGTGACAATGTATTAGAAACGCTTCAGACTTTAAAGTTTAGGGTATTTGTAAAATAAAAAAGAGCCTTTCTTTCTTTCATTTTTCAGGCCTGCAGGTTAGGATTTGAAAAGTTTGTGCCTATTCAGCCATGGTCTTCTGTTATCTTTCTGAGATGAACAAAAAGGCCCTGTACGTTTCCATGGTTGCATGGAGCTAATGGACCAGACCATGGAAAATAAGCACATTCGAATGGCAGAATCCAACAGAAAAGCCATAAGGGATCAATAGAACAGCAATGATCTCTTAACATTCAGCCTCTGTGGACGTTTTTGCTCACTAACAAGGTTGAACCCCAAGGATTAGCGAACAATATAAATTGCTGTTACCCTAAGAAAACAGATCATAATTGGTGAAGAAAGAGTATGTAGTTTTTTAGAAAGTACAAGAATTGAGTCCAGTTTAGAAGAAGGAGAACAAATGTAATCCTTCAAACTTATGGGTCAAAATAGAGTTGGGTACTAAAAAGAGATTTGGGACCCACAGAAGTCTGTTGGGCAAGTTATAGAGGGAAACTTTTTGTTTCACAGACTGCCTGCTTTGCCATTTGCTGTGTCTAACTGGGCTGTGTCTTCACTAAAAGCAATAGTTTGGCTCTGAATATAGGTCCAAGTTACTTGTAACCTGACTCACGTTACTGAGTATCTCATGAAAGTAGCAACTTGTAAAAAGAAATGATGTTAATTGGCATCATATACATCTTATTTGTACCTCATCTTCATTCCCAATAGTTTGATGGTATTTTATTCCAGTAACAATTAGTAGACACAAATAAGGAAAACAGTGTTGTACTTGCCTCTCAGTCCTTCACACACATTAAGAACAGATTTATTAACTATTTGATTTCATTACATGCACAATATTCATTATTTATTTAAATATTACATTAAGATCAGGAGGTATATGGTATGCTAGTTTTCTTTTTCTGTGTTTTTTGGAGGGATACTACGGGTTGAACTAGGGCTTTGCACATACAAGGCAAACTCTCTACCACTCGTCTACAATCCCATGCCCTGTTTGTATATTAACAGATCCCAAATATTCTTTTAATTTTTTTTTTTGGTACCAGGGATCAAACTCGGGACCTTGAGCTTGTGAGGCAGGCACCAGAACCACTGAGCTAAATCCCCAGCCCCCCAAATATTCTTTGTGATGTTTCCAGTGTACAGTAAAACATTTTCTTGCAACACACAGAATTCTTGCAGATTAATTTTGTTCTATATTAAAACACAAACTATAGACCACATGATTAAATATATAATGCATAATACATTTAATCTGTGGAACCTTTGAAAAGAATGAAACAGTGCTAATCTCTTTTTTCATGTTCAAGACCAAATAAATGCAAACACTGGTGTATAGCATGCCCCAGTTTTTGTTTATTAAAATAATGCATTGTTTATAAATTGTTTCTCAAAATATCTATAGGAAACTTATAATAGCAGTTTTGCATCTGGAGAGGGAAACTTGTAAATGTATTCTTCATTTTATTGAAACAGGAATAGTTAAATGTAAAAAAGGAAAACACTAATGGAAGCTCCAGTGCCTCCTATACCATGAGTTCTGGTAATAAACAGAGCCATTAGTTTATTCTGCTTTCTCTCAGAGCTTTAACTTGTGATGACTTTTTGGTGCTGGGATCACACTCAAGGCCAGCGCTGTGCCACTGAGCTACATACCCCGACCCTTGGCCTTTTCCATGCTATTACTTTACCTACTTTGCCACAAATAGAGCATTAATATTAAGAAAGTGCAGGTTTAATAGAAACATGAACACGTAAATGGGCTGAAATAAGTTATACCCAATTACAGAATGTTACTTGATGTTACTCATTTTGTATTTTTAGCATTTGTGTGACTTTGAGGTTGTGATTATTAAGCAAGTAAAAAGAATTTCTGTCCAAATCATCATGACACATCTCAAATATATGTACTACATGAGAGCGTGCTGCCAGTAACGCACCTCTTCCTGACCAGACCCATGATTCAGTGACATTCCAAAAGCCCCTACTAACCAAGCACATATTGTTCTCTGGTGATCCTAGTTATTTCCAACTATTTTAAAGCTCTTTCATAGTTAAGGAGTTTTTAAGAGTGAACATGAGACTATTTGAAGAGTCCAAATGCTTAGTACTTTGCAGAGGTTTTTGGTGGGTCAAATATTAAAGGACTGTATTTTGAGTGTGACAATGATTGGGGAAATTACTGCCACTCATTGGGATGTTGATCATCTTGCAATGTGTGGGACAATATATACAACAAAAAATTGTCTGTTGTCTCATGAGTTTTGCGTATCTTGTCGGACTAAACTCCACAAATGTAAATCAGTAGTCCTCTAGCAAGAGTATATAATATTGACATACCTTTTAATATGTTATCAAAAAGCTCAATAGCTTGTATTCTTTTATGCGAATACTTTAAAATTGAATACTTTAAACTTTCATTCATGCATAATTTAGAAATTTTCTTACATTTCCCTGTAAATCATTACTTTCATTGTAAGTTTTTAATAATAAGACTCACTAGAAAAAAATCACAATGTTCTTCAAATTCATATTGCCTTTAAAATTGTTTTTTTTAGTTCTTTTATTGGTACATTTTAGGTATACAATTCGTTTACATTTATCATTGGGTGTTTGTACCTGTACATGATGCATCTTGGTTCTTATTTTTTTCCCCATTACATAGGCGCCCTTCACCCACTCCACCCTTCCCTATTTACATAGATTTCAT